TTTTGTTTTTTTAAATTTATTATTTAGAAAAAAAAATTTTTTTTAAGAAGCAACAGACTTCTTTCAGACTAAGCGACTTCCGTTTTATGGAAATCTGTCGTTTTTAAAATTTCAGCCCCCCAAGCACGCGACATAAAGAACTTCGTTTTAGAAAATAATTAAATAAATAATTTATCGTTAGTTGGTTGTATTATCAGTGAATGCATATGAAAATGAAAAATAAGTTATGAACTACACGATAAATACAAGAAACCGAATTTCTATAATCGGCAGCGCTCGTAGCATAATGGGTAAGGAACTCGACTCGTGTGCAGCAGGTCGAGAGTTTAAACTTCTTGATTGGAAAGGTTTTTTTTTTTTTTTTATTTTCTAAGAATTGTAAAAGAAAAAAATTCAAAGTTCAAATAAAAATTATTGTGGGAAAATAAAATTAAAATTCGTTTAAAAATTGATTGCTTCGGAGTATGAAGGGGAATGGTGAGCTAAGGTGTGCAAGAGAGTAGCGCAGCACGGTTAGAAGATATAGGGTGGGGTGAGGAGAAGTGTGTAGGGGACTGACGGTGAGGGAGACGGGATAAGAGGGGAAACTTAGGAGGAAGAGACTTCCGGTAAGCCACTTCCGTTTCATCAAATCTGTCGTTTTTAAAATTCCAGCCCCCCGAGTACTCGACATAAAGAACTTCGTTCTAAAATTGACTGCCCGTTCTTGTACGGCGCTGAAGCACAAGTAGAAAGAGACACAACATCGAACGTGCCTATCTGTCTCGCACGTTGCCAACGGTGGGAGGAGGGGGTCAGCAAACCAAAGCCAGCCGATGCAACCTCCCCACTCCCCACCGTTGGCAACGTGTGATAGAGACAGATATACACGTTCGATATTGTGTCTCTTTCTACTAGTGCTTCAGCGTCGTACACAAGAACGAGCAGTCTATTTTTTATATGTCTATGCTAAGTAAGACACTTCATAATAAAATAAATCAAATCGGATTTTTACATAATGAATCATTAATCACATTACTATGGAAGCTGAAAAACTTGTAAAAAATGTTTTTTAATTAAAAGCCAATATAGAAACTAAAAATGTCTGCTTGTTTATTGCAAAAAGCTTTTCAGCAATTGAATATTTACAAGAAAGGTAACGTATAGTCTTATTAAAACGGACGGTTTAACTCGTATTGTCTCTCGGTAAACATGACTTTCGGAAAAATAAAAAAATGTAATTTCGCACTCAAAAATTATTAACTGTGTGTTTCAGACATTATTTTGGCACATTACGTGACGTACACCACCAGGTCGAGAATAGTGAACAGGATCGCTAACATAGTGGAAGTGAATGAAAAATCTCTGGCCAATGTGGTTAAAGAACATGCATTGTGTGGTTCGAGGTTCATTGGACTTAAGTATCAGGTGCCTAAGAGCGAGCTCCCTCTGATAAAAATTATGGAGCTACCTCTGAAGCCGAGCCTTGTGATTGATAGTCCAATCAAGAGTATAATTGAAAAGATTGACATTGTAACTAAGAAAATCGTTGAGGTACCTATGATTATAAATGTCATTGAGAAGCAAGCTGAAAGAATGATAGTCATCAGGAGGAAAAAAATAAAAAAGCACAAGAGACGAAAGTGGCTGAAGAAGTTTAAATTTGTTATCAGGAAAAGAGAGCAGAGAAAGAAGAATTTAAAAGAGAAAGAATATCAGGTCGACCTGCAAGACATTATTGCAAAAGCTGAAGAGTTCAATGCTGAACAGTATGTTGCAGAACGCCTGACTTCCTTAACTAAAAAACGTATTCCTTACAAGTGGAGGGGCGAATTGCTGCCAGAGGATATGATAAGGCAATTTATGAACGAACAAGAAAAAAGAAAAGCATACAAACTTAGACTACGCACTTATAGGCTGAGACTTGACAATTGAAATGTATGAAATCGATTTTGCATGAATTTTTTATGGTACTTCAATAATAAACATCGTAGACTTACATTTTCTTTTATTTAATGCATTAGATTTTCAAGTAAGTGAGAGTGGTCTCAGAGTTATAAATAATTCTAAATATTTATACATAACAGAAATTGGTAATATAAAATTTTACATGTGTATATTTATCACAGCTTTCTGAAGTTGTTCTTTCAGCTAATATATCCTGCATTCGTCTTGGGTGAAAATTATTAATTACAAAATCCAAACTTAATTCAAAGTTGTATAACTTAATCTTTTTCAATTTAATATTACATAAAATATGTGATAGTCATATGCAATCAATCAGAAGATAAACAGTACTTTCCAAATGTATACGCTGATTACGTTTTTTTTTAATTTTAGATTGTTAGATTCGTATATCATAAATATATTATATTGAAAGTACAAATTAATTGCCGTGAAAACTATAAATAGGATTTGATGAACTGCAGAGAAAAAAGGTTTTTCCTAAGTTGAAAACAGTTTTTCATGTCAAAGTATTACTTAACTAAGTATTACACAGATGAAAATTACATTATATAGTTAAAAACAAACACATAATAATGACAAGTCTTTCATTTTAATCTGTGTCCAATATTAGTCAGACAAAAATTTATAGCTATAGTTACCCTCATAAATCATAGCTATAAATATAGCTATGAATCACAGCCGTAAATATTGCTCAAATTTTAAACAATAGTCGGTTCAAAATCTAATTTTTTTTTAAAGTTTATGAATTAATGGGGACGTTGTCATTTGTATAATGGCATAAAAACTAAAAGCCTAAAGTATTTTCAAATCGGTAGGAAGAACCAAAAATCATAAGCAGTTTAGTTGTTTCCAAATAGGTTGTTATCATACCGACAATATTACCTGTTTTGATCGATGTATCTTTAAATTCAGATTTGAAACCAACCGTTACTAAATATTTATAACTTTCTAAACAAAAGTTACCGTAGGTACAAGTTTCGATAATGAACAGTTTTTAAGAAAATAATTATTATGTCGCCGATTTCGGAAAAGGCGCAGTTCAGTACAGCCAATGAATAAAGCTCGTTCACTGTACGTATAACCCTTTCTGATCACATCTCTGCAGAGATATGATTGGAATGGGTTATGTCGAGTGCATCTGTTAGGAATATGGTTAGGAATCAATTCCGTTTCCAGCATTTCCACAATGTAGGGATGAGTGCCCGAGGGGCAAGATGCAAGATCCGGTTGTCCGGGTCGATTTGGCAGTCCCACTTCTGCCGTTAGCGTGTCTCTTCGAGGAAGGGAGGTTGAGAGAAAAGTCCTGTTTAATATAACAGAAAGAACTTTTTATTTGGGCGTACAGTGTGGTGTCTACTAAGGCACCGGAGATCAATCTATAGGCAGAGAGCCAAAACGCAACTGACTTGCGGCGCAGCGCAAGACGCCAGACCGGGACGAGAGAGAGAGGGGATAGCCCCTACACACTCCCCCCCAAGACACGTAGTTAATACAAATGAAAATTTCGTAGGTATTTTGACGAAGACGTAAGCTTAGTGAAATAACATGTTTATGGCACACGTCAAAAAAACAGGCAAATCTGATTTTTGTTGATGGTTGAAAAGCGCCACAAATACGATAAGGAATGTAAGTTTAATTCACATTTATAGGAAAAAATATTGCATATGAACCGCTTAAAAAAATTGGTGTACTTAGAACCTAGACATTGAATAATTGGTATAAAATTATTAGTTTGTAAGCATCGATCAGCGTCACCGGTTACAGTGTCGGGTACGGAAAGCATAAGGCTTAGTGACTACAGAATAAGTGGCGTGAGTTAACGTTGAAAGTTAATACTAACATCACAATCGCAGTATCTTAGGACTAACAAGGACTAAGTTAACTTGTAGCTTAATCATAATCAGGTACCGTTGGGAGATTTACAAACTACTTTAGACTATTAACAAGAAAAAATGAGTTCTTTAGTGCCGTTTTGATTGGTATTCTTCTTAGGTTGATAAGTTTTTAAAATCGGAATGGGCCCTGGAGGCTGGATATATAAGGAACTAACAGATCGAGTCTTGGAGAGGCTGAATCATCCGGCAGAAAATGAGCTGGTTTGAGCAACTCGGTTGAAACGACTTTAGGTACTCCGTTAACATCGATCTTGAAATCAAGATCGGAAACGCGCTCAATCACCTTGTGTAGACCAGTGTAAGCACGTTCGAGCGATTTGTGAGCCGGAGTTCGACGGAAGACATGTAACAAGAGTGCAGATCTTTGAAGAAGAAGGGACGAGGTTTGTGGTGGTGAGCCACAGGAACTGGTCTCAGTTCACATATGTGCTCTCTATAGCCCTCAATAAATATGAGGATCGGCGAAGAAATTATCCGGGATGAAAAATTCGTCTGGAATGCGGAGAGTAGTTCCGAGCAGGAATTCAGCTGGTGAAGCGCCAGTGTCATTCCGAACAGCAGTCCGAAGGCCCAGGAGGACTGTGGACGGTGATTTGACCCAGTTAGCATCGTTGTGACACATCAAGGCAGCTTTGAAGCTTCGGTGCCAGCGCTCAACCAGACCATTAGCAGCCGGATGGGAGGCTGCTGTTCTCTTTCTCTGACATCCGATGAAAGAAAGATAAGCGTTGAGAATCTTTGACTCAAATTGCAAGCCCTGGTCCGTAGTCAGGTATCTGGGAGCACCAAAGCGAGCAACCCAATGGTCCTGAAAAGCTCGAAGAACAGTGGAAGCTTCGATGTTTTTAAAAGGAATAGCTTCTGGCCAACAAGAAAAACGATCAACTATTGTAAGAAGATAGGAGTAACCTTCACAGGTTTTCTCTTGCGCAAGCGCTGTAAGCACGCGCCTCTGTGCACTTATTTTGCACATCTAATGCTCTTGCAAGTGCACTAAAATGAAAAAATTAATGCAAGCAACTTTATGCAAGGCTGACGCACTTCTTGCGCAAGTGTCGTGCGTACGCGCCCTTTTGCACTTCTTGTGCACGTTTGATGCACTTGTGAGTGCGTTAAAGTAAAAAAATTATTGTAAGTAACTTTATGCAAGTTTTATGCACTTCTTGTGCAAGCATATCGTGCACATGCATCTCTGTGCACTTCTTGTGTACGTTTGATGCACTTACAAATGCATTAAAGTACAATAAATTAATACAAGCATCCAAACACACGTCTGACGTACTTCTTGCGCAAGCGTTGTGTCAACGTGCCTCTGTGCACTTCTTGTTCACGTCTGATGCTTTTGCGAGTGCACTAAAATGAAAAAATTAATTCAAGCAACTTTATGCAAGTCTGACGCACCTCTTGCGCAAGTGTCGTGCACATGCATCTCTGTGCACTTCTTGTGCACGTCTGATGCACTTGCGCGTGCGTTAAAGTGAAAAAATTAATGCAAGTTACTTTATGCAAGTCTTGTGCACTTCTTTTACAAGCATCTTGCGCCCGAATCTTGCAGCAGATTGATGTAAATCTGCAGAAGCAGACCAAACATCGTCTTATGCAATTTACTTATGCATGTTTGTGCTACCAAGGGAAGTTGAACTCTGTCTTAACCTTCGCCTCAGGCGTCTGTTTCCTTGGAAATTTCGTACGGCAGATGATCCGAGCCCAATTCTTGGCGCTGACTTCCTGAATTTCTTCGGTCTCATTATAGACGTACGCAGACGTAGGATCATCGATCCGTATCCGTAGAGTGGAATTTGAAATTTTGGTTAGACATGGCACTTGTAGGTACTCCAAAAGTCCTTGGGCCAGCCCTATTCACATGTTGAGGAAGTCAGATGGCACTTGGCGTATTTATGGCGATTATCGTCGTCTCAATGCCTGCACGGTCCCTGACAAGTTTCCGATACCTTATCTGCATGATTACTCTATGCTCCTATCAGGTAAAAAAGTTTTCTCCAAACTTAACTTACTCAAAGCCTATCCCAATCAAAAACTTCAATGCTAAATCAATGCTGAATCAACATTGATTTCAGTGATAAATCAACGCTGAACCAACGTTGAATAACGTTGATTCCATGAATGACGGAACACTAAAATCAGTCATAATTTACATTGTTGATTCAGCATTGACTCAGCATTGAAGTTTTTGATAGGGTACTACCAAATTTCAGTAGCACCAGCAGAATATATGTTCTTAAAACTGCTGTGACAACGCCGTTTGGTCTTTTTGAGTGTGTAGTCATGCCTTTTGGCCTCAGGAATGCATCTCAATCATTTCAGAGATATATCTCCCACGCCATTGGAGATCTCGAGTTTATTTTTGTCTATTTAAACGACATTTTAATTTTTTCATCTTCTATTGAGTAGCACGAGAAGCATCTGCGTATAGTGCTTGACCGTTTAAAGCAACACGGTCTTCGGTTAAATATTTCCAAATGTGAATTTGGTACGGCAGATCTTTTCTTTCTTGGTCATCTAATTGATCAAAATGGCTTTAGACAAAGTCTCGAGAAAGTTCAAGTGGTCTCGGACTTTCAGCCTGTAACTGTGGCTCAATTGCGTAGATTCTTAGGCCTGGTTAATTTTTATCGTCGAAGCCTTCCTCACGCTGCTTCTGTACAAGCTCCACCAGAGATGAGTAGAGACATTGCTAACGCCAATGCTACGGCGTGAGACGTGAGACAACTTTTTTCCGCTGATCGAGGCGACCCGCCGCGGCCAGCCGTCGAACCAAGGCGCACATTTTTCGAGAGTGCGAGACTCGTATCGAAGAGCGTACGCCTACAAGAAGAGAAGTGGATTCGCGTGGAAATGAGCATATAGGCGTACATTTTGGCGACACGTAGAAGGGGAATACCGAATGTGTGCCTACGAGGAGAGGAGTGGAAAGGTTGACCATAGCTATATATCTGAGCGCACAGCCAAAGCAAGCGACGACATGAGTTTTTCTCTTTTGACTGCAACCGAGTATATGCTATATATATTTAACTTACTCTTGCTCTCTCGCTCTTGCTTGAATGTTATCCATCAATCTTACATTAGATTAAATCGTGAAACTAAATGCTCATAATTATATGCACAAAATTTGATA